CTGTTAGAAGGACATGCAGTTCTCTGCTTTGGGATGTCTTTTGTATTTTCTCTTGGGGGGAGGAGAAACCCCTTAGGCTTGAGCAGCATTGTGTAAAGGTGAGCTTTGACAGACTCAGCAGCAGGAGCTGTGAGTAACTAATGTGTATCTTCCCCTCTGTGCAGCTGTGATGTGTTTGTTAACTCTGGCTTTGACCTTAGTCCCCTCTAAGTTGTGAATGAGTCCTCAACAGCAAAGGGCCCCATATGCCATTCCTGAAAAACTAGTATTATCTTGTTCGGTGTTTTAAGTACAGGATGCAAAAAAAGATAGCCAAAGGCTTTTATCCTTCCCAGGTTTGTGACAGAGGAGGGAATCCTCCAGTGGAAAATGTCACCACAATACAAGTGGTGACATGAAGCTCTGACAGATGGCTTTGTTTTTCATGGGAACTATGTAATATAAATGCAGGGGGTTGACAGCTGTTATCCTATATATGAGACAAATCGTGGCACTTTCTGGGTGCCCAGACCACGTGATGCTCTCAGACTGCTGCAGTCTTTTCCTTCAGCGACTCTTACAAAAGTTTTTGGATACTGCAGTAAGAGGCACAAGCTGGAAGATGTGTTCTGTCTTGAATGGTATTGCAGAGGGGTAACTTCCATTTGAGGATTCTGGTATTTTTTTGTTCACACGTGTATGGCTTAAAATAACGTACACAGACATCATGCTCTGCTGTTGTATTTGAGTTGAAGATGCTGATATGTGAATGCTGAAGGGTTTAGGTCTTGCAGACATGCCAGGCGTTCACCCTTCTTGCTCAGTCTCTTCTGGGGGATTTTTAGAACTAGCAAAATGAACGTGTGTCTTGTGTGTTGAGGTGTTAATGTCTCGGCTTCTCTTTCGCCAGCTGAACCACTGCCTTTGATGGACTTGTGTCGGCGAGCTGTGAGGCTGGCTCTGGGCAAGGAGAGACTGACTGAGATCCCCACACTGCCCCTGCCAGCCTCCCTCAAGAGTTACCTGCTCTACCAATGACCTTCGTGTCCGAGGACAGAGAGCTGGAACCAAGGCAACACTCGGAGCTGACCCACTGAGCAACGGGCTCTCCACCCTCGTGTCATCGCTACTGTTGGGACTCCTTGGCCAAAGTATTCCTGCCACTGCTTAAGCCTCCATGTGCCCTTATTGGCAAGCTCCCAAGTAATCCTTGTTTCACAACTGAGTGTTTTGTTCTCTGGAAGTCACTTCCCCAGCACACTTACAAGAAGGGACACTCACAGAAGCTCTGTGCTTCCCTGCTTCTCCTGAGAAAAGCTGTGCTTTGTCCTTTGGGCACGAGGGCTTGGGAGTGAATGATTTGTCTGTACCAGCTAAAGGGAAGAACATAATTTGGGGAAAGGGAAGGCATTAGGAAAGGTTAAGACTGGGTCCTAAGAATGGAAAGGCACAAGATGTCCAGCAGAGTTGGAAAGAGTCTGGAATACCAAGAGGAATTAATTGCTGAGTTTCTAAAAAAAAAAAAAAAAAAAAAAAAAAAATTAAAAAAAAGTACAACCCCAAGCCCTGAAACACCAAAACTAAAACCCTTCCACCAGGACACTTGTTAATTTGGAGAAGGAGGTTGTGTTGCTGATGTCTGTATCTCTGCTGGAACTTCTCACCATGTTCTAGTGCTGTTTCACAGATCACAAATCCCATGTTCTTGTTTGCCACCGTTGCTTTCTCCTGCTCCATTCTCTGCTCTGCCTCTTCTTAGAGGGTTTGACTCAGTTGATTGAGCAGTCAGGTGTCTTCACCTGCCTTCTTCCTGACTTAAAACTGCAGGTTTTAGTCTGGGATCAGGGGGTCCTTGCTGATGTGGGGACAGGGAAGGGACAAACTTCTGCAACAGGGTGCAGAAGATGGAGACCAGCTTTATGAGCTGAGAGCTGTTACTCAGCTACAGGCCCTGTCACCTTGGGTCTGTTTTCTAACCTGTTCCATGGTGAGGCTTTAGAGGAACATACTGATGTGTTTCTCTAATGGCTCTGCCAGGGAATTTTCTTCTTGGACAAGCTGCTTATATTCATCCAAACCAGGCTTCTTTCTGTCACAGACCATTGGCATAATCTCCACTTAACTATGCAGCAGGAATAGTTCTCCCTGTTTCTTGCTTGGGGGTGGGAAGTTGTCCCAGAGAAGGTGGTACCGGTGTGGGCTGCAGAAGTACCGTCAGCAGATGAGAAATCCAGGAGGTGATTGCTGCAGAATGTCACTTGTGAGACCTTGACAGAGGCCGGTGGGGTGATCTTCAGGCACAGCAAGAAGAAACTAAACCTCTCCAGAGCTGGGGGGCAGGAGAGAACTGCAATAAACAGGACAAGCAATTCAGGCAAAATCAGCACATCCCAAATAGATTCTCACCTCAGTAGCCGAGTAAAGAGGATGACACTCCTTTACTAGCAGGAGCTGCTCTCTTGACCTCTCCACAGGTTACTATGCTGCCTTTCTGGGGTTATTTTGCACATTTCTTTGTCTTGAAAAATGTTTGTGTGGTTGGTTTTTTTGCTCTTGAGTTATTCCTTCAGTTCTGTGTAGGTACAAATGAGTTTAGTTGTTGAAAATGTTAATATATATATTTGTGGTGTATGTATAAGAACATGTTTTAAACAGCTGCTGTAGGGTACCTTTTTTAAAATAAACTACTTGCATAGTATATTTTTTAAAGCACAGAATTGGTGCCAAGACTGGGTGGGGTGTGATGTGCCCCTTTTTTATTCTAATATTATATGATTTTGTTTTTTCGACGTAGGGGTTTGTACTAGTTTCTGTTGCAGGGTGGGACACAAGAAAACTCAATGTGTGTGGAGCCCTACTTGGTTGCCTTCAACTTGAACCAGTGTCTTCCAGAACTCCAGGGAAGTAGCTGTGTTCTCCCTACTTCTAATGCTCTTTGTGCTCCCACGTTTCCCTCTCTTCTCACTTCACCAGGACATTACTTGTACAGTTTTAAATTCTGACTATTTTATGACTGTAGATAATACTCAGTAACCTAATAAACTTTATTAAATATTGCTTGGTGATGGTTTTTATTCGCATGAAACGATCAGATTTCTTGATGCTTGGTTTCTACATGAACAGTCAGCTTATTCCCAGGAATCCTGCCCAGGCAGGCAAAGCAAGGGCTGTTGTGGCCTTATCTCTGCTTGGAAGAATAACAATTTAAAGCTGGCATCTAAAAGGTGTGTACAGATGGAGGGCAAGGTGCATTGGTACAGGATGGTAAGGTGTGGTAGCCTGAGATTTTTGGGCAGTTGCCACTATTGCCTAAAAGATGGAGTTTATTAAAGTCTGTGATGAGACAGCAGCCTTGATTTCCTGATTTAACTTGGTTTACAGCTGATTTATTACACCATGCTCCTTTTTGTATTCAATATAAAATAGATTCAATAGAGTTTCCCTCCTACACTACAGCAAATGACTTTTCTTCTTTCAGAAAAGAAGTTTATAAGTAAATCCCTGACTTCTTATTTTATGTTGATACCTGACATTTTTCTTAGGGAGGTGGTGGATAGAAGACAACAAAATAAAATGGTGAGGGCTAGAGGGATCCCTGGCCAGAAGAACAGCACAGTTAATTACAGAAGGTGCTGTGGAAGGTTAAGCTGAGTGTTGGGAGTCATTCCTGTGTGCTTGAAAAATGGCTGATGGATTTCAGTGTGTTCTGGGAAACTTCCTCAGGTCATGAACTTGATTTAGCTCGTGTTACTTGGTATTGGTTTTCAGTCACTCCCTACCCCCTGCTATAAGTTGCTCTGTTTTCATGTATTTTTGGGATCTGTTTGCATAAGAGACTTCACTCCTGGGCCGTGAGGAGAGATGGATTATTTTGTTTGTGGAATACAACCTGTTTGCTTCCTGGTTGTGCCTTCAGTCTCTTCCACCTCCAGCCTGTGCAATGCAGAGATGCTCTCAAATTGTGTCAGCAGGGAGGTTAAGCTGCCCCAAAGTGACTGCAAGTGTGATGACATGGTAGTTTTCTCAATGATGATGAAAAGTCTCTCCTGTTCACACACTTTTTTGTCTTCCCTGCAGCTACCAACTTCTGTGTGGAAACCAAACCATTTAATCAGTTCACACACACACTGCAACTTGTGAGGTTCAACTGAAGCTTATGAACTGCTGAATAATGGTGCTGTAGGGGGAGAGCTTAAAAAAAGGCAGGTAGTTTCTTTCCTCTTGTCTCCAGCCAAGGGCAAGATTTTTTTTAATTTTGGATGTTTTGCATGTGGGACAACCACGTGATTAAGGCAACTGTTTGTAGATCCAAAGCCTAAATATCCATTGTATTCAATAATCACCACTTCTGGTTGCTGCAGGTAGTGGAGGACTTCAATGAAACACTTATTTTCTGCCTGTTTCTGACCAAGGCTGGCTTCCCCTTTACCTTGCAGTGGAAGGCTGCCTGTGTGTCACTGGGAATGTGGCTGGAGGGGTTCTGGGACAGCAACAGGCTGGGAGGGTGCAGAAGGTGGGGCGGGTGCAGAAAACTGAGAAATTAGTTCATGCTCAGCTCCAGACACCCAAACAGGCTTGTGTTCCAGCTGCATGGAATATTTGAAACAAATGACCTGCTCAGGGCTGGGAGTCTGCAGTGTTTATGTACAGTGCCATGGCAACAGTGGAGGAAGTCATGGGATGGGGATTGGACCTGATGGAATCAACAAATGATATCACAGATTAGCAAGTCCTAATAAATCAGTGGCTCTCTGCTCCCCTGCTATTAGTGCCTGTATCCAAGCACTGGCACTGTGGCAGGAAGATCTCTGCCTTTTTGAGTAGCAGTAAAAACTGCAAGCCCTGCTTGTATCAGGACTGCCTTGAAAACCAGCCCTGTTCCACTGGCCAGCATCTCGTCCTCCTGCTGCTGCTGAGTCATCACGTTTACGCACATGGAACCATTCCTACATTTTATAGGAGGCTTCTGGCCTTGCCTGTGCTACAGCAGTGCTGTGACGATTCTGCAGAGAACCCTGGTGTTCTAGACAAGCAGGGGAGTAGCTTTTGTTTCTTCCTGAAAGTCGAGGCGTTGGTGACAGTAATTTGAGTGTGGAAAAGTGTGCAAGAGGGGAAGTGTTCAGTGGAGGAGTCGATAAGGAAGCAGGTCATGCTGCTTCAGCAGTGCTGTCGTCGTTCCTTTCACAAAAGGAAGCCTGCACTGGGTGCAGGTTACACTCCTGCACACATTTGTGCCAGCCAATATTCCTATTGTGGATCTTCATCAAAGCTATGACAATGTCAGGACAGAAAAACTCGGGGGAGGGCAGGAAGACGGTTGCCAATTCTCTCCTTTATCTGCAGAACCGAGAAATTATTTCTGAGCTCAGCCAAGTTCCCTGCTGGAGCCCAGCTGCCAGTCTGTACCTGTCAAGTCCTTTGCCAGAACCAAGGCAGTTTTCCCTGTGCCTGAGATGTGTGAACTCAAAAGGATGTGCGTCACGCTTTTAAGAACTTATCTTGGCAGTCACACCTTTTCTCCTGCATAAGGTAAGACAATTATGAAAAACATTTCCTAGCACACTGCCCCTCTTCTCTCCACGTGCTTCCTATGCAGAGCTAATGCTGTTGATCTTATGCCAAAGACTAAGTTGTGTTTGACTGGAGAAGGAAATACATAGTGATTTATTTAGTATAAGTTTATTAAAATTAAAAACCTAACCCAAAGCACAGCCTTTCTTGGCTTACAAAACAGTGCTGAGGGGGAACAAAACTCATTCAGTGCTTGCACAAAACACACTGGAGCACTGATCCTGCCTTTGCACATGTTTTGATTCGAAACTATTGCAGGCTTGTCTGCCCTTCAGACAGAAAACTATTTGAAGCAGCTGCCAGATGTTTTGTCTGCCCTGTGTGTTACAGTTTGCTTACTGCTGAGCAATGCTCTTCCCATCGGGTGCTCGAGCCGCCCTTGGGAATTTTGTTCCTGTGGCACCTCCGTGCTGGTTTCCCACCCCTTTGCCCTGGTCACGTTCACACAGGGCAGATACAAGTCTGAGTGTTTTACTGCAAGGCTCAGTCTCTGCTGTGCAATCTGCTGGCCTCGCCTGGGACCTTTGCTGGGACCAGCACAGACCAGCCACATTCCTCTGCTCACATGTTGCCACAGTGTGTAAAAGTTAAGGTGATTTACAGTCTCTTATAAAAGCACTCGGGGCCTGAATTTAGGCCTTGCTGAACAGCCTTACCCTGAACGCCCACAGTTCAGGGCCTGGGCAGCCTCGCTGACTGGCTGTGACTTAGAGCTGAGTTATAAATCTTTTTCCCCCCTATAAGATGGGTGATAAATTCTGAAATACAGTGAAGTGGAGCAAAGACCTTTGTGTTTTTCCAGAACTGTGACAAATTCAACTCAGTCAGAAGACGTACCTGCTCAACAGAGATACCTTGAGAATTCCTGTGTGTTTGCCCAACCGCTTCACGTTGTTTGTGTAAAATACATGTTATTTGTTTAAAATACAAATTTTCTGTGTAAAATTTCTCAGCTGGGAGCAGTCCCCTGTGCCATCATGTTTAGAAGCTTTCTGTGCTTCTGCACCACTGGTAGTCCTGCAAAACCACATCTATACATCTTAGGGCAGAGTCCTCGTTAAAAGGGGTTTAACCTGCAGTTTTTCACTTTGCTCAGACTTCTGTCTTTTAGTAATCAGAGGGCTTGTGCCCACGCTTTTTGGGCACACATAGCATTTGCCTCTAACTGTTCTGCAGTCAACAGCTTGTGGCCCAGGGTCTGCAATGGTGTTGGGTGGGACAAAGGCCAAGAAATAGGTGCTACTTCTGGATACCCTTCTCCATGGCACCTTGTTTGTCCTGAGGAGCCCCATAAATGACTCTTCTTACCAGAGTCTTGTCATTGTTCCCTCTCACAACCTCTTGTTAAGCCATTAACTATTATTTAGGAGCGCCTAACAAAATTTTACTGTCTAAAACCTGCATAAGCAAACAGGCTCTCCAGCTGATTATTATAAAGGGTACATGGGCAGGCAAGAAACACCTGCCTAAGCTGGAGTCTCATAGGACACAGGTGTTGATATTTTTTTTTCCTTTTATTAAAACATACTGAGGGTTCCCCAGAATGGAAATGGGTCTGAGCTCTTTGTTCTCTCACTTCTCCCAAAACAGGACCTTTGGGAGTGCAGAACGTTCTCGTAGGCTGCAGGTAAAATGCCATCCACTGAACCAGTAACCTAATTTCCTGCAACAGGCTGGATGTTTTCTTTGGAAGAGGACCACCTAATATTGATAAGGTCTGTTCCCACTTAATCTGAGGTCCAACAGAGAGACTTGAGAAGTAACAGCTGTTACTCCTAAATATGATCTGTATTTTTCAAACTGTCTAGACACCTGGGTGGGTTGCACACATTACCAGCAAAGCTAGTTAATCATGTCAAACGTTTTCTTTCTCTAAAGGTTTGGTTTGTGTAATGAGCTATATGGAAACCCAGGGGAAGACAGTGAATCAAGCAGACAAGTGAGGAAATTTGATCACTGACACTTGGACATTTTTCATTCTGACCTGGTATGGACAATGCACGGATTTAAGGATTTCAGAAGTTATTGGCTGTGGTGGTTGATAACACCACTGACACAGTAAACCCTTAAAACAGTGGGCTGGGTGGATGTTCCCCATGTGCTCTCTGTGAAGTGCTGTTAAATGAAAACTGCCTGAAACTCTGCTGCACAATAGGAAGCTACAGCAATGAAAATTACATTTACAGAATGCCAGAAATTTAAGTTTACAATTGATTTGTAAAGGAAAGCCTAGAAGAAGGAGCACTCAGAGTCCTTATGATGCATCCTACTTGGACAAATACAAATGTTTTCAGTTAATGTTCTCACAGATGCCAGCTACCTATTCCAAAGTACGATGCTGTGTGATAAGATCCTTTTTATTAGGGAAGGAAAGAAGGTGATTCTTCATATGCAGTCTGACATTTTTATTTGCATTTTAAAAAATAGTCAGAAAAATGCAAATAAACCTGAAGTTTAAAGGGGTGGGAGACATTTCTGGACAGGAACCCACCCTGAGAAGCTGCATCCTGGAGTTCAGACACCCTTGAGGTGGACGTGCAGATCCACAGGCACGTGGATCCTGGAGGATACCTGACATTTACAGCAAAGACTTGTGGCACACATGCTTTGGAGCTGTGTTTTCTTGTGTTTGTGTTTGCTAACTACGTTTTGAACTTCATAATCAAGATGAACCCTGGCCTTCAATAGAATAAACCTGTTTTCCTCTTTCAGGTTGCCTGGCACTGGCACTACTCACAAGAACTTTTCAGTAAGCACAAGGCGTGTGTCCTTCTCTACAAACAGCAAATGCAAATAAAATAATATTATGGTCAAACAGGTGGAATGTTTGCAACCTAAACAAGCATAAGAATCCCAAGACAAGCTATGATGCCTTTCCCAGTAAGTTTAACGTGGAGTTTAGAAGAATTGAGCACCAGCATTAAATACCCTCTCCCCAGATGGGTGTTAAATAGTGTTTTCAGGAAGGTATGAACACTGAAAGAGCAGATCCAGCTTTGGAAGAAGCCAGGGTGCAAAAAGATTGTTGGTCAGGAAAAGCCTTCGACACGTGAATCTTTTACCAGATGCATTTGGCAAAGGTTCAGAATCATAATTGGGAAGACAAAGAGGGGGAAGAGATTCAGCCTGGGGGCTGGTTGAGCGTTCTGATCGTGGACTGAGCTCTTTGGCTGTTTGATAAAGCTCTGCAGGTACAAGTTGGCAACTGAGGCTGAACCTGCAATCTGGTTGCCTCTCCAAAATGACAGGCTGGGTCCCTGAGCAACACTTAGGGTGATTTTCTTTGGTTGTTTTCCCAGTGGTCAGCAGCTCCAAATGGTGCTGGAAATAGTGTGAGAGAAGCAGCTTGCTGCAGACTGCGCTCAGTTCCGAAATTCTCTCAGATGCCTTTCTTGCCAAATTCTCTTGGAAAGAGATTGTGTAATCAAACGGGGTTGCATGTAAAAACACACTTGTGTACGTCCAGGCGTGCAGGGTATTGCCAAAGTGGACAGACTGTCCTGCCTGTGCCTGCCAGAAAAGTTGTGTTTTGTCCAGCGGAAAGGAAAACATCCTTTTCTCTTTGCGCTTTGGAATTTGTCTTTTCAGACTCTGATCTCATCAGCAGAGGCTTCATACTATGACAAGTTTGGCCATCTTGGGTCAGGACCACAGTCCAGTAAATTGAGGCTTGCACCAGTAGCCAAAACTCAGCTGTTCTCCACAGAAAGTGGCCTTCTTGGTAACACGGCAGATGCTTCAAAGATTGCAGAGAACATCCAGGAAATAAAGGAAGCTGATCACTGACTTGTAATATACAGTCTTTTGTGCTAGTTGGTCTTTGAACTACAGCAGACAGCATCTGCCTCTAAACTGAGGACACAAGGAGGAGTATTTCATACCTAACATGTTTAATAGGTTGGAACACGGACAGGTTGCACCATGCTGTGTGTGAACTCTGTATCACAGAAATTAGGCACGTGCTCTAGGTGTGCTACCAACAGGCATCTTTCTTTCCAGGCTGTCCTATATAGCTGGAAAGGCTGATTTTTAAAGAACCCAGCAGCTGAATAGAGTGACATTTTTCCTATGTGTTGCTTTAAACCCTGGTCCTAATTCAGCATTCACCTTTTATTTCCCTCTTTGCTGGCTGCACTGGATTAAAATGGCAGATTTCCTTGGATTGTATGTTAAAATGAGACTGCCAACTGTAATTGGTAATTTTACTGAATATGGCCCATGCTCTGCACTCATGTTTGGGAGCTGTAGATTGTCAGATGTCAGTGTCAACACGACGTTTTGCTGCATCTATGACATTCAGAGTCTCTCTGCATGAAAATATAGCAGCTCCCAGTTCCAAGGACATCCTTGGAAGGAGAAGAGCTGCCCCTCTCCAGTCCCACTTTTCAGTCAGGTGACCGGTTTGTTTGGAAACTTTGCTGTGGGTGGTGGATGGGGATATGTTTAAAGCAACCAGACAAAGGTGGGAGGAAGCAAAAGGAAACACTCTCCTGAAGCCAGATTGTTTTGGGGGGCTGCTGGGAGGGGGAAGTTGTTTAGTTTTGTTTTCTGAAAAAACATCCTTACAGCCAAGACAAACAAAGGTGCCGCTCTAGGTCTTGTTACCTTTGGTCTCCTTGGGCCCCATGTCAATTCCCAGATTGTTTTTACGAACTGTTTAATCCAGGGCTTTTATTTCCCCTGTAAATAAATGGTATTTCAGATTCCAGGGCAGCTTCAGATGCTAATACCAGCTGTCTAGACAAAGAGTGGCCCATGAACATGATCATAAATAAAAATAGTCTTGGGGCTTTGGTTTGGGTGTTTGTTTTTTTTCCTTCCTTCTCTTGTCCAACTTGCAGAGGGAGACTGGCAGGAGAGGCTGGCTGTGTGAAGGCAGGCACTGCACAGTTCTCACCTCCTTTGCCATCTCTTGCAGGGGATTGAGCTGGCTGGGGCCGTGCCAGGGGACGCTTGGTGTCTCAGAAATGTAAATATTTCTAGATAAGGAGCTAGGGGATGGAGCTCACAATTATGTAGTGCATCTCCTAGGTTGCACAAGAGCAACACTGCAAATGTTTTTATGCCTCCCATGGCTTTCACTATATGGCTCTTCAGTTGGATTTTCCTGCAGGGAGAAGAACTTTCTTGTAGCTTCTGTTCTTTCTCACAGCTGTGCAGAACCATTGTGCAGCACTGCTCTGGACTGTTCTCCCTTTGTAGAGATGCTCTCTCTGCCATCAAGACTTGTCCTGTTAAATTTCATTTTCTGATTTTATTAAAGAAAGCATTAATACTCAACTAAAGCATGTACTGATCTTCTCCTAATGGCAGAGCTGATGCCAAAGTGCACCGTGGGCTGAAGAAACAGTTCATTTATTCCTGCAGCACTGCTGTTAATCCCATTCTTTCACATGCTCCTAGGATGCCGTGTCACAGATGGATGGGGATATACATCTTCCTGGCCCACTTTTAGGTGCTTGACCTACCTTTTTATTGCCAAAATCCATAGGCAAGGAAAAGAGGAGTGAAAGGAGAGGTCTTTAAAACTGGTGATGCACCAGAAGAATGGCCTGATGGCCTGTCCTGCACTTGCTGCCTGTCAGGACCCCAGGCAGGGACCTGATTAGATCTCCCCAAAAGGCCTCTTAAAGAAGGAATAGTCGAGCAGAAACCATTTTAAAGGAACATTTATCATTGTCCTTACACCCAGTAATGACTCATATGGCCTTTGCTAAACTGTGTAGAAGGAATGGAATTTATTGCTTGACTCTGGAAGACAGGGCTGGGATCCAGAGGGGCATCCGCTCGGAAACTGCTGTGCTCTGAGGCAGACAAGATACTTGTGCGTGGAACACATTCCCTTCCGATTCCAAAGAGTACTTTTATAAAAAGCAGATGAGCAAGGCTGCAGGGAAGGGCCAGCACACCCACACCGACAGGGGATGAATGGCATACAACAGTGCTTGGAGATCAGAACAACAAGGGCTTGCCTTACAATTTTAATACAGTTGTAATTAGGAACGGATTTGTGCTAAATCCTGTTGATGCCAGTGGCAAAGCTTGATTTCACGCTTGCCTTCCTTTAGCCTCAACTCAGGAACTTTCTAAATTCAGGTTTTAGCACCTGCTCCAATTTAAACACTCACAGAACTGACCTCTGTAAAGAACACTTGACTTGACTTTGCCTGTTGTTACCCCCAGTTCAAAGCTGGTGTCCCTGAAGGGAGACTATTGCAGGGAAAAAAGCAGGAGAATCACAGAGCTTAAAAAGTTCTCAGTGGGTTGCTTTTCTCCTGACAAATAAAGGGGCAGATACGCACTACGGAGAAATAAAGGTTAACATTTTCATGATCCCTTTCAAACACTGGAAGATTCACTCTCGCGATCATATTGAACATGGATATTATTTTAAAAGAAGAGAAATTATACAGTTCAGTGGATCTTGACCGAAAAAAGAAATTCAAGACTTTCATTTGGTGGGAAATGTCAACATTTCAACATTTTTCCAATACTGTCATTCTTAAGAAATCCCCAAATTCCTGCTCCCAACCAGCCTTCCTGGCCAGCAGCATTAGACACAACGCCAAAACCCGGCAGAAAGGGTGTCTTTTAATAGTGTACACACACCATGTTTATAAAACCTGCACTTTGTTTTTAATTGGCTCTTCCAGAGGATGTACAACTTCCTCAGCATTTCATTTCCATAGGTTCTCCAAAGGCTTGGGGTATTCCAGGCTGGATATGAGCCAAAGCAGCCATAAATCAGCTGTGGCAAGAGGTTCCCTTCTCCTCAATGTTGCTTCCCCGAGACAGCATTTTGGGGAGCATAATGTTTTCATTTTCTATGCACCACTGGCCTCTGCAGAGTCCTTTCTTTGGTGCTACAGTCTCAGGGAATTTTTAAAATAACTGTTCTGTGCAAAAGGTTTATGTACTCCATGTGTACCTGTGGAGCCTGCTCTGGGAAGTGGTGCTCTGATGCAAGGCCAGTGAGGGACACAACAGAGAACTCTGTTTTAGCATCTAGGCTGCAGTTAGGATGCAAAATCCTGAACTGAAATATGTTAAAGATAAGCCCTGGAATATGTGTGAGAAAATCCAGAAGGGACTTTTTTCATTGGAGTTGAGACAAGGAAAAGATTTGGACTTCTTTTCTGACATAGGAAGGCCTGGAAGGTCTGGGTGGTTTTTTTTCATTCTTCTAGGAAATTGTCTGTCCCTTTTAGCCTTTCCAGAAGGTGACAGCAGGTAGCAGAAAAAATATGAAGGTCAGGAAAACAGCAGCATTTCTATGGGCTGGTATGGTTTCTAAACCTGGTATGTATTACTACAGGGCAGTGTCTGGCTGGTGAACCCACAGAGCAGATATATATAGGCCAGGAAAACACACACAAGTTATGAAATACAAGTGCCCTGCCATGAGATGTGGTGCTTCTGCCAAAAACAGTGTCTGTCTCGGGGCTGCCTGGTGCACAGTTCTCCCACAGAGTCCTCCAGTTCAATCCAGGGCAGGCTTCCTCCTCCAGACATCAGCTCGGATCTGCTGCTTTTCCTCTAGGAAGGTGAGGCGAGACCAACCAGGAAGCCGATGCCATTAGAGTTGTCTCACAAATTTCCCCATTTTGCTAGGGCAGAGGAATGGTGAAGGGAAGGAGAATGGGCAGATGGATTTTCCAGGTAACACCTGGTGAAAGAGGGACGACAGAGTCTCACTCAGAACAATGGATTTGTTTTGAGCTGCTTGTCAGGAACTGACCTCTTTCCCCTCTCATCCTCTGAGCATAGGATCCTTGGGGTTTTTGTTTTCTTTCTGCTCTCTCACCCTCAGATAATGTTTTCCTCTAGTACAGTGACACATGTAGTGTCCATCAGGTCTCCTTGACATAAATGCCTCCGGGCTATGTCCTTGATGGTGTCTCTACAGGTGTTGAAAGACTGTGAGAGTGGACTCCAGTTGCAGAGGTCAGGTTATAGTAGTCCTTCTCCTAAACTGCAGACAGCCCAAGGCTTTTGGCAGATACGGTGGCTATGTCAGGGTGGACATGTTTAATTCCCTTTTGCCCACCACCTGAGCACTTAGTGTGGGAGAGGCACTTTAGGAGGTCAGTTATCATTTGGACTGCAAGGAGAGGAGGAGCAGCACTTGCTTGAGTTCTGACGAAGGAAAATGCAAGTGCAAACCTGGCAGGGAGGATACAGCTGCATCCTCCTGAGTGTGCGGCTGCAGCGGATACGGCCCTCCCTGTCAGGGATCTGTTGCTGTTCTACCGGCTGCTTGCTCCGGAAGCCATGGCCATGATACACCCACTAGGAATGAACATTGCTCACAGCCTCTGTAATCAAAATATAATCTGAACCCACAGTTACAGCCTGTCCCCTACTCAGAGCCCCTCTGTGAGCCAAAGCAATAAAGTGTGGGTAGATAGGGAAGCAAGCCAAGGACGGGCCTCGGGCTCTACTCTTCATGCTGGCCTCAAAACTTCTGAGAAGGGTCCTGATATTGTGTTCATCCTGGTGGCATCCACAGCAAGTCTGTCCCCAGCCACAAGGTGTTGATATACCATCCTAAGTCC